AGTTACATTCTCTCTAAGTGGTGATAGTGGTGATTTAATTTTGCAGTCTAAAGACAAAAGCACATCGGGCAACATTAACCATGCATGGCATAAACGACCAACTAGGCGGTGCTGTAGTTAGATCACTCGATTGGAAGTTCATATCCCATTTTGGGATATATCAGACCATCACCTCCTTAAGGTTGACAAAATCACGATTACTTTGTAGGCAGTCAACAGTGGTAATTTTATGGAGAAATTTGCCCCATCATGGAAATGCAGAATTTCAACTGCTGCCTCTGGGCCATCAACAAAACGAGTTGCCACCCCAATGCTCGTTTGAGCGCGAATACACTTTGACGTTTTGTATAACATCATCGGTTTTTTCACTGAGTAAGTCCGCTGTTATAGCTCCCCGATGTGTAATTTTTTTTTCAGATTGTACCTCGTGGTGTTCGGAACGGTGTCTAACATTTCACACCCCACGTTCTGGGAGCTTCTACAAGAACTGAATTCACGCGGTACAAGCCGACACAATTCGGAGAGAGAGAAAGACAAATTACACTGGTCAACACACTTTTTCTGGCATAAGGTATTTCAACGATTTTAAGGTAATTTTGGGGTGCTGATTCCAAATCTGGCATCAGTTGTTGTCTATCACATCAGGTTTTTGAGATATCAAATATTGCATTTTCAATAAAAACTGCAGAAAAAAAAGATGAAATAAATGTGGATATCTACATAACATGATATTATAAACATACTATCCTAAAAATACAGCACCATATTTTAACACTAAAGCAGTCACTGACTCGCAACAACTTGCAATCGTAAGTGACAGAGTTAATTTCGGGTAAAATCAATGAAAATGGGGTATGCCGATAGTATATAAATGAGATGTGATAGAGCAAATCTGAGATCAGATTTGGAATCAGCACCCTGAAATTAGTCTAAAACAGCTGTTAAATTCCAGGCCAGAAAAAAATGTTTTTTGTTGTTGTTGTAATCGCTTCGACCAACAATCGCCAGAAGTGAGGGGACAGCAAAGACGCGGCACTCCCTGTGCAAAGTGGAAGAGTTCCATCTTATAGACGCGGGACTCGTTTGACGTGTGCGTGTGTGGAATGTCTCAATTGTTGGCCAATGTGGAGCTCGTATTTCGGATTGGTCCATAACCAACAAACTGGCTGCGTGTTCTTTGTTGCGGTTTTTGTTTTTGCGTTTGCGACGTCGTGGCCACGGCTGCGCAGGCTGGTGGGTGGGTGGGGGAGAGGTCGAGGAGACGTCGCTTGGGTCACGTTACGTGGGGGGCTCTTCACATGTTGTTGAGCTCCAGCAGGGTTTGGTCCAGCACTTGGTGAATTCCCACGTTCTCCTCCTTGGCCTTGGAGAGCCCGTCTGCAACACGCGTGTCAGAAGCACGTACGCTCAGCCGTCGGGAACGAGCGACCCGGTCGGCGCCTCTGATTTGTGGCACGATACAACACAACGACGCACATCCGACAGTCGCATATCCGCCCTGACCAGTTAACCGCGCACACACACATCCATTGCAGTATTGATGCACGACGAAAACCTCAGCCTCAAGTGAGTCGGATGCACGATATTGATTTATTGATGTTTGCCAGGTAAGGCCCATTGAACTATATAGCTCTGACAACGACTTGGCTTATCGTGTGCACGTTCATAGCAGATCGACGCTCAACACACACGTTCCTCATTGTGGAGGGAAACACCGGAGGACCTGGAGAAAAATCCATGCGACCGCAGGGAGAACATGCCAACTCCAAACGTTACAGGCGTCAGTGTCAGGATCGAATCTACGATCTCCTGCATACCAGGCGGAGGAGTTAACATCTCGCACCCCGCGGCTCCCCTGTTGTACTTGCACCGCAAGTTACAATTTGGATGAATGGTCGCGTCCACGTGCAAGTCGCGTCTCGCGATGCTGCGCAGACAACGCGGGCGTGTGCTGCATCGACAGAGAATGAAGTCACGGGGAGAGGAGAAGTGGAAGGGCTTGAGCTTCCACTTGAACAGGCGCGAGGCATGTACAGCGCCGAGGGATGGGGGAAGGGAATTCCAGACCACGGGGTAGCAGAGGAGACCCAGAGGGAAAAGCGGCGTTGGTGGTGGTGGGGGTACTTTTGGAATGTGATGTGTTTTCTAATTTATTGCTTGAGATATTAGAAGTCACAATTCTAAGTATCTCCCTGCTCAAATGAGTAACGAGCCAATGTTAATTTCCTCTGGTGGCCAGATGGAAAGTCCACATTACTGCTGCAGAGTCAAGTCCATCCATATAAAAAAACTGTTGATGCCTACACTGCCAACACTTCAGCATGTACAGGAACTTACATGATTCAGTTACTTACTTTGTAAAACGCAACATCTTTAAAACTATTTCAGCCACTTGCTTTGTAGTCGAATCGTGAGATTAAATTGTCATTCAAAACTGTCACACAAAGTAGTGCATACCAGAGAACAGCTTCTGAAATATGACTTCATAGTATTATATCTGAAGTCCCTCAAATTACCATTAATCCACATTATGTGATGCACTATCTCACACGTCCCGCTGTAGAAGTGCTCATCGCATGACAGCGTTAACACTTGTTAGTTCTCAACGCTGGAATATCCTCAATTAAGCGAGAGGCCACGTTTAACGTGATGAGTGGTTTTTGTGCAGCCATTGGTGACTGGGCTGCAACCGACTGGCTAAACTTGAGAGCTCGACTTAACAACTGCTGGTTGTCGGGGTCAAACCCAGGATCCTTAAGCATCTCCCGGCTCATTGTTCAAACCGAGGATCAGCCCCCTCAAACCACTTGGCCTCTTGTCCCGAGAAACATTTTAAATAGGCAATCTCTACTCACTGCCTTTAAAGCCTGGTCTTCATAGTTATCGATACTGTACGCACGTGGACGCTGCCGCAGTGTAAAGTTTAGCACACCGCATTTGCAATCCAGAGGCCCACCGATTCAATTTCACGGCGTGGCACTTGAAATAATGGTGCAAGTTTTTTTTTAATCTGGCCGCCTCTGTCCGCCCAGCAGTAGTAATGGTCAGGTTGTACTTGTGATGGGGTAAAGTGTGGGTGCTTCCACCTCTTCGCAGCGTGAAAGGGTAAGGTCAAATACTTTGTAGAGGGGTTCTCTGGAGCTCCCTCGACAGTGGTGGCGCATACCTGTAATCCAGCACTGTGGAGGCGAGCGTTGGTGGATCACACAAACTTTGTGAAACCCTCTTCCCGTGGGCGTTGAGGTGCCATACCCTGGCTCGCCAGGAGAACAACTTGACTAATGGCCATCTGTTCCCATCTGTACGGGGATGGAGTGTCCCCCCCCCCCTTGCGCACGTGGATTTTCTCCGGGTGCCCCGGTTTCCTCCCATTTGTATAAAGACTCGTCATTAATGGGATTCAAACATCTTTTTAAAAATCCAATGCAGGCTCCTCCTGAAAAAAGAGTGATATGACTCAGTGTGGCTCTCCTGGATGAAGAAGTAACTTCTGCCAGCAGTGGTGAGAGCAAGCGATCACAGGGCTGTGCCTTTAACCTTGCTTTAGCAAAGTACAGTTTCTGAAACCATACCAAGCTCCAGTTGAACATGAAGGTGAAACACCTGCCAGGTTTCCCCAACAATACAAAAGGCTGACTTTAATGGCCAAAGTTATTTGATCCTTGTGTTTGTTTTAACGGTTGTCATGAGTACAAACATCCGGTGGTCTAAATGAAAATAAGGCAGATCCATGGAGGTCGATTGAAACTCAAATGGGTTACGTTATCGTCAGTATCCACGTAATATTTTAAACATGCATGAGACTCGAAAAGTATTACTTAACCCCATTAATCGTATCATAATGTATACTCTGTATCACCTTATAGCTAGTTGTGGTGCAAAATAATTTCAACGTGCATATATCCATACTCTCGTGGTTGTCCAATGCAAGACGTAGTGGCCCCCTAATAGGAACGTGGAATTTCCACCATTAGTTCAGAGCCACCAATGGACATGAACACCACACCACATTCGTTTTGGCCATTGTAACCACTGATGGGAGAACGCAACAGATATTTTGTCTCCTAGGGTGATTGGCATCACTTCACATAGGAGTATCTGAACTAGTCATAAGCAGATGTGCTGGCAGTGAGTGTTAGCAGATGGCCTCCTCAAGGTGCAGCGCTTATAAAACGAGAGATGCAGGAGTCTCATTATTTTATGTACAGCACCTTGAGATGAGGTTACACACAGATGCTATACAACATCCAAATTTAATTGAAAACTTCATTAAACTGGACCTTGCTTCCACAGTAAGTATTGCAATATCCCACGGCGGTCTTAAACACAGCAGAGCTGGTGATCGTAGCGTCCCATATTTATTTACGTAGCATTACTGGTGTTATAAAATAAACAATATTCATAGCGTTGAGATATATTGCGAATCGGACGCATTGCTCGATTGAGAACTTTGGAGTCAAAGCTCAAAGTTCATCATAATCCAACCTGAACAGTTGAGCATTGAAAATGGAGCTTACAAGCTGCGAATTTTCCGTGGAAGTGAGTTCCAGACGGATGGTGCGTCCATGGAGAAATGTCGCTCAGCCAGGACAAGTCCTGGTTCTGGTTTACTAGATGCCTGATATTTCCTTTAAAGGAAATGAACATTAACGTGAGTGACAGATGATACATCTCACTGGTAACATCCAGCATACATTCAAAATGAAAGTTGTGAGCACATGGAAAAATGTGGATGAAATAAAGATCGCAATGCCGTGCGAATGGAAAATCTGCACACGCCTTCCTAGGGTTTCTACAGCCCGCGACTTCCTAAGCGATTCCCTGGGCGGTTACTAATCCACATAAGTGGCACGCTAATGGAGGTGTACGCTAATGTACAGTAACATTCTTCTGCTCAAATGCATTTTCCATCTGTCAGCTGCAAGAAATCAATGGGTTTTTTTTTTTTGCTGAAGCCAGACCTTGGGCTGTACGTAGAAAAAAAATCGTAATACCGAGTGTAACATCATCACATTTATTAGCGGTTGATTGGCATGTATTTGCAGACTTCAATATGGATACAAGCACATGCTAAACATGCTATTACGCAAGATTCCTTCAGGCAAAAGTTGGCAGCTTATGAAATCTGCGTTGAGGCGGCAGCATACAGAGAAACACGGATGCAAATGCAATCGTTACGAGTGGGAAGTGTATGTACATGAGACTCAGATGAAATATGCTATGTTGGTCAAGAGGCTAATGCGGAGGTCACAATGAGGCAGTAAATATTAGTTAAAGTTAAATCAGTACTCGGACGGGAGACTGTCACGGGAATAACCAGGTGGTGTGGTCTTTCGTGGCCAAATAGACCGGTGGCCATACAATGGATTATATAATCTATGTGGCTTCATGAGTACGCATGAGTTTACTCTCTCATACAAAACACCCACGAATGAAATTGTCCTAATACGGGATCTTCCCCCAAGAGGTTTTGGGACACCGCAAGGACTTTACAGGTAAAGTAATCGAGGTTCATGATCAAGCTCTGCAATGTTTTGCTCATGCCATAGCTGGCTCTAGAGGGCCCATCTAGAGGGTATTTGACCTTACTCTTCCACACTAGCCAGACGTCATTGAAGAGGTGGTTTACTCACTTTTCTCTGTCACACGTGACCTGCCAGTTGACTCTAGTGTCGCCATTTATACGGCTGGGTGGACAGAGGTAATGGAATTTCAGAAACTTGGACTTTCATCTGCTGTGCCAGGACAGTAAACCGGTGGCATCTGAATTCCAATTTCAGGGTGCTAACAATTACTATAACATCCGCTTTAGTAGGTAGAGGGAATTATTTATAAGATTCACGTATTACTGTAATTTTCGGATCGTTATTCCCCTCTATGTTTCCTGCGATGTGTATGCTTTCACACAGCTATTTTAAAAAATACAAGTGGAGGCAGATTAAAATCAGGAAAATAAATCAATTTGTGACATCGCATATTTTGTGCCGACTCGGCTTTAATTCCGTAAGTGAAATGTTCCGCGTATCATGTCTACAGCCTGATCAGCTCACTACAATGGCATTCACAGGAACTTTCAACACGAGTTAACTGTACATAGTCGTCACGGCAGCTGCAGGTGTGCATTCACAGGTGTGTCGGCTCATATACCGCAGCAATTTTTTTAAATTACCGAATGCTGAGTGACAGGGTTTGAAGGATAATTCCGTGATTTTTATACATCTTCCCACTGCCAACACGATGCGAATACCTGCATAGAGATGGCATACACCATTATTAAACGTGTAGTCATACTCAGTAATGCTGTACAATTGAGGGCTACATGATGTACATTTAGTACAAACTGCATGGTGCAATGCTTTATGAGCCAAGCACGAAACATTTCCCCACTCAATAAAGCTTGCGTCAATACATTTACAAACGCAGCCTAAAGTCAGTCGTGAAAATTCACCATTCCTATAACATTAGCTAGTCTATCCATAGGACATCTAGTGATGCCTTCCAATAAAAGCACATTTGATTGGCTGAGCAAATCCCGGATCAGGATGTGAACTCGTGTCCTTTCCAATGAGTTATCGCCCTACCCACAGTGCCACCTGACCGGATTCTATATTGAACTTGGCTTCCAACTTGATTCCAAACATCTAAGGAGGGACACAGATGTCCAGTCGTTCTCTCCAATTGTTCTCCAGAGCCATCTCTTGAAGATGGAGACAGGGCCCGAAATATATGGTGGTATTTGTCTCCATCTTCATATTAAACGATTCTGCTCAAGAAAGTCAAGGATGTAATGTATTATTGGTGAAACGTATTGAGGAAACTGGTAAACATCCCATCTATATATATAAAAGGGAAATTCGTGAATATGTGCGTCTGATAGAAATGTTTAGCATATTTTCCAACATGCAACAAATTTGAAATTTGGCATGTGTGTAGCTTCCAGACTCTACACAATGCAAAAAGTCTAAAAATCGACTTTTGTATTTGGGGGGGGGGGGGGGCACGCGCAATAATCGATATAATGTATTGCACGGCAAGTGAGCGGTGACGTCACATCTGTGATGTCACCCGCATGCGGCAGCGTCACGCAGTGTACCTGCCGACGTCACACATCCCCCCCCCCCCCCCAACTCTACACGTATGCCGTGTATCCCGCACAAATGCGCGTCTGGAGGGGGGGATAATCTATATACTGTACTATATGTACTAGGACTAAACTATTCATTTCCGTGCGAAGAACGGGTACACCTGCTAGTAATTATATGAGACAGTAATTTTAACCTGGAAAATTTCCATAGAAATGTCTTGCATTATTCTTAGCTCTAGCGAATGATTTGTGCAATTGGCTTGCATGTTGTGAGTTACTCAATTTTGACCTAACATTGAGCTCAAATCAACTCCTTTGTGTAGTTTTCATTACAGAGGCGTTGGATTACAAAGGTTGTGTTCTCCAGTGTGAGCCAGGCTTAAAGGTACAAGCTCATTAGCGGCTAAGCCAACTCTTGAAAATTTAATACACCCAACTTGACCCATGAGCAACTGATGTGAATATCCAATGGTACTGCCGATTTATCAAGAGTAAGAACTGTACAAATACGCGTAGAACTATCCACGTGCTTTTGTCAAAAACGTAATTTCTGCACTCGGTAGATGTCTAAGTAATATAATAAATGGACAAACAGCTCATATGCAGCGATATATTACACTTGGAATATCAGGTTAAACAAGCTTTTGGTTTACAATTAAGCCACTTTTGAGCCCAGTATAAGAGTATCCCTTATCCAATTGAGCCTATCTTAAGCTCACAGTGCACATCTGACAATCGATCACGTGCCACAGTGTTTGTCAGTGTGAGAGTGATGCGGTTATTGTGCAGGAAACTACGAGAAAAAAACGTATCGTGGGCTGCCTGCCTGGACATGAGAGAATATTTAAATCTAGTATCATACCACAAATTCGATTAAACCAGATATAGTTTGATAGATAAGAGAAGTGTGACATAACTTTTGCAAAGTAACTTTTTATTTCAGCCCACTGAGCTGTGTAGCTCTTTTTCAGAAGCGACCTGGCCACACATGATAGCTCAACGAAGTGGCTGATCAAGTGGAAATTTATAGCAGCCAAATACTCTAAACGCATGTTTCTAAATGCGGAGGAAAAATCGGAGGACCCGGAGAAACATCCACACGACCACGGGGGAGAACATGCAAACTCCAAATGTACAGGCGTCAAGGTCGGGTTCAAACCCACCACCTCTATACCAAGCGAGGCAGTTAACGTCACGCCACCGTGGTGCCCCATGGTTGTTAACATCTCGCCAAATGAAACCTTACAGAAGAAATGGACAAAGCACCTCGCAGATAACATTACCAATCACTATATAGTGTCAGAGCCCACCAAGCTGAGTTATATTTTGTTACGTATTGAACTGTCCATTCACAGCACGAGCAATCCATTATTCTACCTTACCGGTGCACATTTCGTCAGTCACCATGGACACATCATGAAGAATGCTGCAAGCAGTTATAATAATTAAGACATGGTAGCTCTTAGTGCCATACAATGTATGTTGTACACATCTGAGAACACACATTGGTTACTCTACAGATGTCACACAATGTGTGCACCAGTGAGCAGATTCGAACCATCTGCAATGCACGAGACGCCTGAAGCTGTAATGAATGTCCACATATGCAAAACCTCAGTGCAACCACAATACGCGGTCACAAGGATTAAGGGTGCTGTAAGCAGCAGGAGATACCATTGTTATATCAATCATATTCCATTTGTGCTGTTTGTGTCTATTTCACAAGTAAATCACATTACACTCTTGATCTGTGTGCAAATAAATGGCATTACGGTGAAAAAGAAAAGTGATATTGAAATCATTAAATGATCTACCTCACCCAAGAACTACATCTCTGTATCTGTACAGATGAGTGTTACGCTCAGCACATTTATTTAGAAGATGCTCTTACGGGCAGGGATTTAACTGAATTAAGTGCATACCATTTTTCTGGCAGGGTTTGGTACAATGTGGTTATCCTACAGAGGCTGACCCGTCATGGTAATGTGGCATTTCGCATCTGGATCAAGCCTGCCAATGCAAATGTGCGTTATCCCGATGCTGTGTCGAGCAAGGACAAAGTGACTTGTACATTAATTAGCATTTGATTAGGGGTATTTCGTCAGTTGCTTGAGCAAGGCCAAAACCAGTTTTTGTGGCTCTGGCTCAGTACTTTGATAGGGACATTATTGTGATTCGATCATGCCCAATCAAGTCTTAGAGAACTTCCAAATCATACGTTCAATCGATGAACGTACTCTGTATATCACTCATGCGTATTCAAGTAATGCACAGGCTAATTTAGTGTTCGCACACACTCGTGCGACCAATCTATAATCCCAATATATAGCTTGTCAGTGCTTGCCAGCGCTTGTGACAACTGATGAATATTTAATAATGCCTGTGTCGATTTACACTCCAGGTGCACATGCAATAAACGAGAGGGAAAGAAAATACTTGGACGAAGCCAGCCAACAGTTGGGCGAGAGCCAAGGCGTACAATATGCACAGGTTTCTGACATTGCTTACCAGTGCTGATTACTCAGCTTTGAAAAAAATACACAAGTTTCAGATCAGTAACGTTTACCCCCCCAACCCCCCAATAACCGAAATATCCATTTCACAAGACTCCCAGGTCATTGTCTAGGTTTTCTCAGGCAGCATGCACCATTTCACATTTGCACGACAATTTGTGTAATTTCACAACTAGTTACGGTCATTAGTTCACGAATCCAGTATGTGTTCAAACTTCTCTATTTACCATTTTCACGTGACCTTCTGTTTTACGGACGAGTAACATGTGTTGCATTTACACGAGAACACAAGACTGTATATATATATATGATTATCCCACAAACTGCGTGCGTGTTGTCTCGGGCTAAAATCCCGAGACGCACGACACACGGCCCCTACACGCGCGAGTCGCGAGGCTGCTCTACAAGCTGTGTAGCTCCTGCAAGGTTTGATCGAGCACCCGGTGCAGACCCACGTTATCTTCTTTAACCTGGCCAAGTTTGTCTGTGTGTGGAAGGGGGTGGGGTTGGGGGAGGGCGGGGTGTGGGGGAGGGGGAAGAATTAATGGGAACAAGACAACATTACACAAGCAGGTTAGAATTCAGAAAATGTGCGCAATGTTAAAAAAAACATGCATTATCTCCGGCATGCATTATTCCGTCAGCAGAAAACGTGCACTTCTACCCTTTGGAAAGTCGACTTATCTAAAGCAGCTGAACAACAGAGACATGCAACGACATTAACATAGTGTTTTGCAGCAAAAGGTATTAAAGTATCGATTAATACCCGCTTCTGGTGCAGCACACTTTAACGCATACGTATTTTGTGTACTCTCTGACTCATCTGAGTACCTATTTCGCTATTCCCCGCACCACTGTCCATTACAAGTCAAATTGTCTCCCAGCTCAAATGAGAATAGGGGGCAGCACTCATTTTCATAGGTCCTGAGTCAGCGGTGGAAATTTCATATTGCCATGGTGAAGCAGTCTTTCAATACAACCACTGCTGACTCCCACGAAGTGGTACTCATTATTACTGAAGGGACAGTTGAATTAGTCTGCACCCCAAACCAGGATTTTAACTCGCAACCTCTGAATTGTGAGCTGAGCATTCTAACCATAGAACCATCTGGCCGGAGGATGTTTATAAAAAAGATTGTTGTTATTATTATTTCAGACAATAAGGTTAGGTACAAACATGCAGTGCAGCATTTTGAGCCGAGTGTTAAAGGAGGAGATGTGTGCACCAGTGGCAGCAGGCAGAGAACAGTCAGTTATTGAGTTCTGAGAGGGCAAGCTTGAGCTGGTTAGTCAGGAGAACCGTCCTGTCCACTTCCCGCTGGTGCCGATCTGTGTGCCGCTCACACGTGAACGCAAAAGATGCACGGTACAGGGGACGAACACAACACGAGGGATGCCAAATATGTGAACGTACGTTGTGAAGAACAAGATGTATGGAGGACATACGATAAGGAAAATAAGTGGACAAAAAAGCATAGGTGGGAGAGAACACACAGAGCAGCGGTTGGTGAATATGACATACCAGACACAATGGGCAACAAGTAGCTAGTGAAATTAGAGATGCAATAACAAACAGGGCACAAGGGTTATGTGGGGGCAGATAAGATACACGGAGGAATGAGAGCAGATACAACTTGCATTCTGGAAATCTCGTGTTTCCATATTACCTTGGAATACGACGACAAGGCAACATACAGAGAAGTCGCAGTCAATGAAGAATGAACACACAAGCAGCCACACTCATTTTGAAGCAGTGTGGTATTTGCAAAGTGTTTCCTTGGAATTGTTCAAGCTATTAAAATACAGCGAAAATAAATCACGGGTGTGGATAAGACACCTACGTTTGTCTGTTGCATAGTAATAACTGTAAACGTTAGCTATAATAACAAATCACTTTATTCATATTCTACTCAGTCTCCATACAAAAATACCATGTTTGTTTTAAAATATTCCATTTGCAAGTTAAATTTAGCAATGACATTATTTTCCTAAGTTGAGGTTTATGTGAACGTCAGCACTGAAAATATCACCGACGTCACAACACCCCACCATCATCACCTCTTTCTGCTAGATCCTGTGACAGTGGCAGCCAGCACCAAACTCAAAAGTGTGCTCCGATAGAATCCCACCAACTGGCTTTAGGCTTTCCCCTCGATCAATAATCTGACGCACGTCCACTCCAAAAGCTGTCTTTGTAACAACCTTCCACCCTCATTCTCGCAACACCTATCATTGCAACCTTCTCTTGCTGATTACCTCTGCAATGCTTTTCTCAGATTCCATTCCAAACTTCTAAGTGGCTCAAGCTCTCCTGCTCATGCACCTGTGCATAAAGACTATTTTTTGTAAACTGATTAATTTGGAGGGGTGCGTTAAGAAAACTTTCCAGCAACAAGTGGCTTCGGAAGTGGTTTTAAGCCGATTACGAAGAAACTTTGATCAATGTTTGTAAACGGATTAAAACAGCACTTGAAGGCCAAGTGCACAAGAAGTGGGCCATGCATTCTGTAGCTGTGAGTGGTGCTATTGATCTATGCCATTATGGAAATGTTTTGTTTTTTATATTGTAGCTCTATCATATGGTCCTAATATCTGAATATGAAGCTGATAAATCATTCAAATGCTCAGACGCTGTCGCCTCGACAGACCTGGTTTCACCTGAGGACGGCTGCTTGCGTTGTGGCCGAAACGTCGTGAGAATTATTTTATTATGTTTTATTTTTATTATTTTATTACTGCCCTTCTACGTGACTTTACCGAAAGAACCAAGAAGATGCTCAAGACTTTTTTGTTTAGTTTGCCAAGACAAGTGTGGATAATTCAAAGCTGGTAGTGCAGCGCTTAAACTGCACTGCTGCTATGAACCCTGCGATCTGAGTTCAATTGCCACGTAGTTAGAAATAAAATGAAATAGAACAAATCACGGCGTTTCCATTGAAATGACGTTTCGATTGAAACGTCGCGATTTGTTTTGTTTTATTTCTAACTACGTGACTTTACCGAAAGAACCAAAAAGTATGGATTCCTGCAGTCACGAAAGTTTCAAATCACATATAACATCATCGAAGAGGGAGATCTGCAACGGCTGTGATCTCCCCTTGAACAGTGTGGTGATGTATGGTCAAAAATCCCATTCACAATGGAGAGATTTTCATCCAGCAGTGGATTGTAGTATTTGTAGAGCCTAACCAACATGTAAAAGTCAAAGTTTATGCCTTTTCAAATGAGCATTTAGCAGTGCTCAACTCTTTGGTGATCCTGAGCCAGTGATGGAAATTCCACATTCATATGACAAGCAATATCTCCACAGGACAACCACTATTTATCACAAAAAGCTACTCATGTTATCAACCCCAGGTGTATGTTTGTTTGAAGGGCTAAGGTTATCCCTGATTGGGATTGAAACCTGCATCCTTTCAATTCTGGGTCCATGTGCGATATAACTCAGATAAATCAGAATGATAAATACACTATTAAATTATTCACGTTAAATAAAATACTTAACTCAGAAGTATTATGAATAAGCATTCAATATTGCAAAATGTCCTACAGGTACTTAATTCGAGAAATTGTTACTTTACATATGCTTTTAGTTTTGTTCGTAATTTAAGTGGCACATAATAACTTAAATATACAAGTAATGATCGAAAGTAAATATCCATTGTTTCAATTATATGATTCCATTTTCTTTATTTACTCTGTCCATGTTCAATACCAGAGATTATTAAAGAGAGCAACTGTATCTTGCTAACACTATGCATGATTTATTCTAAAACAACAACAAAAATTCCATAACTAAGAATGTTAATTAAATGCTCCAGGCAATGCAAGAAAAAAAAAGTAATGAAAAGTCATCTCAAATTAAGTTGTGCAAAAAAACAAATGCAATCTGAAAACACAAAGGCATTGCATTGTAGGCAGAAACCCAAGGGAATCAAGAAACAGAAAACCAAATGAATCAGGCAGCTCGAGCTGTAACGTACACGTGATTGTATTTTATTGTAATACCCATGAGCCAGTGTGCTGATGAAACAGGAAATGGAAATAATTGATGTTAAAAAAGGACACTTGGTATGTCCCTCTGGGAACGCCACCAAAAGCAGAAAAGATGTATTTACTTTCACGAAAACAGAACGTAGGACAGGTATGTTCTTGGAAAATATAACATTTTCAAACATTCATGATGACTGAAATGCATTGGTGATAGTTATAAATTCACGTTCTCGTGGACTTTTCTTTTTTTAACTCAGATCGTTCACATGTAATGAAGATGTATTTTTTCACGTTCCAGATTTACACTGCACCAACTCATGATTACACCCAGGAATTTACACGTGCCACATGTCTGTTAAAAACCCACTTGAGTCGTGTAAACTCTCCAGGAATTCCAATCATAGTTCGTCATTACCCTGGTATAAGAGCAACGTTGGGGCAGCCAGACTCTTTGTTCGAGTTGGAAGGGGCAATGCTCAAGGATGGACCCAGGGGGCAACACAAAGAATCAACTGGCACTGAGAGCAAGAGGACAGTGTAAAGATGAAGTGAGAAAAGGATAATGAGAAGTCATAAGAAATTCAGAGAAGCACTAAGTTACTATACCAATTAAGTACATTGTCGTGGTCGTACATTGAGGTAAAGGTGTGTGCTAATAATTCCTAAGACATGGGTCTCTCTTAAAGATAAAAGGGTGCTTCCGCAGATTTCTCTATGAACCACTAATAATGTAAGCTGGCCACAGCCATGGATGATAACTCAGTGAGGGTGTTCCCCAGCTGATCGCTGATGTCTTTGTGCTTGAGCTTTTGTGAATACAACTCATCTGTTGGATCGGACAAAGAGCAGAGAAAAGAAAAAGATGCAGAGGAAGATCTATCACACACTACATAAAGTGAAAGTGAAGAAAAAAGATAAGTACCATTCAATAAATAACACCGGATAAAGTGCTTGACTGAACTACATACATTATTTTCATTAACAGTATAAAATCTTTAAAATTATTTTCTCAATATTTAATACAAAAAATATACGTCAAAATACCACACCGGAGCCGCAAATACTTGTATATACAGTACATAGGTAGTGTATATACAAAGACACGCACCTTACAAATACAACATTTGTAAGATTTGTTAGTCCAGTATTAGCTCTGTAGTGTTACTAAATATAAACTGCATTACAATGTAGTGTGCAATTATCAATATATGACCCATTTCCAAACAGAAAAATTGCATCGTAATGGAAAAGTGGCAATGCCCATAAATTTTCATGTGTGGACATCTCAGCTACAGGGAACACGAGCAAAAAGATTTACATAGAACTACAAGAGAACCTTAAGCGTCCTGTCACGCTTAACGTGAGTGAATGTTAACGTTCTTAAATTTACGTAAAGGCTCACAAGGCTAAAGTGTAACCTTAAAAAAAGAAAATAAACAAAAACCTAATCAACGTTAAACGATCCAAGCCAAGCAACTGCAAACTTTAGTTAGTAAAACACAGTAAAAAAACAAAGAAAGTAACAGAAACCACTGCAATCAGGGGAATGTGGGGGTCTGTTTGAGTTATGCAGCATTAAGGGAAGTCAGAGGCCAGTGAGCCCCAGCAAGCGGCAATGCAAAGGGCGGCAAGGCACACATAGTAGGAGGGAGGCCTTTACATGGCGGTCATGTCGTTGAGAGCATGGTCCAGCTCCTCGCTGATAGCCTTGTACTTGAGCTTCTGAGAGTACAGCTCATCTGTTTGTTGCATGTGTGTGCATGCGAGAGTATGTGTGTACGGTGTATGCACAAATGTGTGGCGCATTGTATATGTAAGAGGAGAGGAAAGCGTGTGTAGGTGTGTGGGCATATATATGATTGTTGACGATGTGTACGTGATCAGGTATGTTTGTTGTGTGCGTGTGTGTATCGTCAAGTGTGTGTTAAAATGTTTATGTGTACATGCATTTGGGTGTTGGCGAGTATGTGTAAGTGTACTTGTGAAGTAGTTATTTGTGTGTGAGTGGCGGTATGAGTTTGCAGGTTTTATAATATAGAGATGTTCGTTGACTCGTGTGTGTGTAAGTGTAAGCCATAGGTGTGCATGTTTGATTCCAGGTTTGAAAGTGTGTAGGTTTCATTGCATAGAATTGTGTGTGAGTAGCCAAAGAGAGAACAGTAGAAGCAGATATCCAGGCAGGAAAGCAATCATCCAGGTGGTATGGTCAGAATGCAAGTCAAATATAAAGTATATAAAATAAACAGAAATGACTGATATACGTTGCAAAAAAATAGCGAAATAAAATCCTTTCAATCACAGATGCAATGCACATATTTAAGCAGAGGAAAATATAGAGTTTATAGAAATGAAAAGGTATGAGTTGAATGAATAAAAATTTATTTATATTTACATATGTAGAATGAATGCATCTGTGCAATACAAACTAAAACCATGCAGTGGAATGAAAACTCAGAACGTCACAGATTACAATAAAACCCAGAAGCTGTGGACACCGCATACTCCTTGCCATTCTCACACTGCAGAGATGTGTGCCCTGACCAAGTCCAGGCTTACAACCCCCCCACCTCCTCATCTTCTCTGGCTAGAGGCTGACTTTCTCTTCACTTTTAAGTATCTTCATTTACAGATTACCATACCATTGTCTCGTTTCCCAATACTAAACAAAATACAGTACTTGACAAAAAATGCTCTCTTTTCTCTCAAGTCACCTCAATATGCACGAATCCCTCCCACTCCATTAATAGCCATGATATGCAGTCACATGTAGATGCTTCATGAATCTAAATGTTATTATATGTTGTATTACAATTCATTCGGGTGGCTCCCCAGATGTGCACCTACGTGTTTGTAGACAGGTCTGCCTGATTTTTGGCAGCTGCATTTTCTCAATACTTAAACAAACGTGTTCATTCAGTATTTATATTAAAGATCATACATTGTTTCTCTCTGTTCAAGCAAGCAAGAGGACGGTGCTCATCTCTATTGTTGGCCCTGAAGCTGTGGTGGAAATTGAAATTGCCATGCTAGATAGAGGTCAGTCTCTCCGAACATGACCCCCGTTGATAAAGTGATTTTTTTATCGACCCTGTTAGAATGGGACGCTGAGTCGACCTGCGACTGGCATTCTAACTTTTTGATCCTTTCGACAATTTGTTCATGACTTTAATCGCAGCATCAGCAGGTTGAATGTTACATACTTACTTGAATATAAAAATACATGAAATAATGTATTGATTAAAACCTTACCCCATCAGAAATGGTATGTACATATTACAAGAGTGAATCATCATTCAAAGTGCATATACAGTAAATACAACAAGGAATTCAAATTCTGAAAATGGTAGTATACACAGTGGAATATACTTATTTGTCTAAAACACTTACAAGTGACCATACTGGCTTTTAACATAAACCCACCTTCCAAATCATCGATGGTCTTTTCCAGCTTGGCCACTGATCTCTCCGCAAACTCAGCACGTGTCTCAGCCTTTTAGGCAGAAAACAAAAACAATTGGCTAAAGTACAAAGATCAAGATGGCAAGTGTGTAAAAGTATGGATTATTGACCATGGCACAGAACACTCGTTGACATGAAGTGCCGATAAAAAATGGAATTGTAATTATATCTCTAAAGAGGCATAGTTATTATCAAACATCTTTACCAAATATCTCTCTATTGCTTTCAGACATGTTTTGGTTTAGCCGAAGCACCACCCCATTGCTTTCTTAAACAAGCAATGGTGGTGCGTATCTCTTCTGGGGGCCATGAGACACTGGTGGATAAAACACATTACTATGGCAGAGACCAGTATTCCCACGGCACAACCAATATTAACTTCTAACAATGTGGTATTCATTTTATCTACTCTGAAGGATGATAAGCTGACCTGAACCCTGACCAGAATTTGAACTCGTAACCTTCTGTTTGCGAGACGGGAACTCTAATCACAGTGTACACTTCGGGATATACAATACACCGTACTGTATAGCAATATGTAATGTTGTCCACTACACCTTCTGATGTATTGTTAGGATCTAATCAGTGCCACCCAACTAGCTGGTCATAATTTAATAACGTTGCATCATTGATCCCTACGAGTGCATTTTTTTACAGCAGCAAGGCACTGCAACCATAAATGTGATGTTACCTGTCCAAATAGCTAATCCATACATTTTAAAATAAGACTGAAATTTACTCCGAGGTATCTAAAATACCAGCTCTGCTAACAGGAGAGAGCCTTGCTTTTCTTTAATGTTGAAGGTCTAAATGTCTGCAACATTAAGTGTATCATCCCTGCACAGAATGAAAGGTAATTTTTTTCAGAACATACCTCCTTCAGCTTGTCGGTGAGAATTTTTATCTCCTCCTCATACTTGTCTTCTTTTTGTGAATACTAGGAAGGTACAAGAAATATTTTCACACATCATTTATTTTAAAATGAGAATTTTGAAATAAAGCAATGGTACTATATGCCCTCTTGAACAGCGAACCCCAATAACAAATGCAGATTATTTTGTTTAAATATCACAACAATCTATCACACCAACACAACAGAAAAGTAATTGTTTCTGAAAAAAAATAGACTTCATCTTCGACTCCCAACCACGTGACTTTACTGAAAGAACCAAAGAGTATGAGTGCAAGGGAGTGTAACCGACACAATTTGAACCCATTTACAGTACATTGGGTGATCACATAATACTCTGTGCATCATAACAAAGGCACAATTCAAGTTCTCTTTCTACTTGAATATGTAGCCCAAACAACCTAATGTCATGACATTTCGTCAAGTGTGTTGATACTTATTTAGGGTAAAAATATACCTCCAAAGCATATGTATAAGGGGAAATAGTAGCAAGGCCAAGTTTGCGAATTTATTTCCATTGCAGTGTGCTTCATGTTCACAAATATCGGTTGCATTCAAGCGTCGTCATACTAAACGCCCACACACGTCATGATCTCGGTAGCCATACGTCAAATATACACATGCTTTTATTGGGCTGTCCCTTCATTCAAAAAGTAACCCAACATTCTCACATCAATTTTATTGTATTCCAAAATAATGTGGCCAAATAAATAGGAGGTATAAAACTGAAACTGTGCAAAAAGTACATTATCAGTGTTCATTCAAAAGACAGAATGCACAGATTTACTTTGCAATCTGAGCATTGTTCAGTATTCTCCTGAAGTTGAACCATTGAATATGACTAAGGATAATCATTGTACCTTTAAACTCCTATAGGTGATATTTATAATTATTTTAAAGCAAAGTTTTAATTTCACATACAACACCTACAACAAAACTATGTTTTAAACAATGGGTTACAAACAACAATACAAAATAATCCTGTGGTTGTACGAATATCCATATCTGACTCTTGGGGCAAGTGCTGTTTGCGTTCACCGATGATGACCAGCACGGCACATTAGGTGGTGGGTGGCCAGCACCACGCCCGGCCACCGCCATCTCCCTAGTGGAGATGTTTACACACCGCACCAGGTACTCATTTGAGGCTGAGTCAACCTAGGGGAGGCCCATGACTGGTTCAGATATTCGTCACCAGTGTTGGCCATGGGCAGGAATCGAACTTGAGTACCCAGGTTCATAGCGCAGCATGCTAGCCACTGCACTACCACTCCCCACCATTGGTGGCATGCGCAAACACACACACAGGTAGAAACTGCCACATACCATTTTCACGTGAGTTCCAGTGAGCATCAAGTCAACCATTGCCTAAACAACCACCCTACCTTCTCGGCCTGAGCCTCCAGAGACTTCAGATTGTTGGACACCGTTTTCAGCTCTTCCTCAAGCTCGGCACATTTACTGTGTATTTACCCACAACCGGGCAACAGCAGAGATTGCGGAAGAAGGAATGATAAGGTAGGGGAAAGGAAAAACAAGGGAAATGAAGAAATACAACAAAATAAAACCCGGAATAAGAAAATAAACCTACATTTTTGAAGAGCACATTTTATGGTCCTGGTTTTGGACATTACTTTTTAACTGATCTCCCAAAAACTAAAACTACATTGAGGAATATTCACAATTTGAAGTCAAAACGGGACCATTTTCCATTTTTAATGGTCACAATAATTACAATTGAAATTTCCTTTTGGAATAAGTAATAGGTTTTTCACACAAGCAACTAGTATTTTTAATGTAATTATTCCCAACAATTTGTATCTACATTTTATGAAAGCTGCCTGTATAAATACTGCATCTGATCCTGCGTGTATTAAAATGTACGTCTAAATGCCTTGCCTAAGTGCTCACGCTGGTGATGAGCAAGCGTTTGGATCTGACAAGATAAATAATTTAGAGATAAATAAAAATAAGAAGGAAAAGCCTGAGGAAAATGCAAGCAACGAAGGACAGCAACGCAGGAGCTTTGACCAAGCGTGGTGGCATATATAGTGATACGCATTGAAATAAAATCCGCCTTAAAGTGCAAAAATTGCCAACTTGAAATGTGATAACGGTTCATGAACTGCTACTAATGTGTGGTCCATCTGGATGGTACTACCGGTGGGGGCTTAATCCACCTTCAGAATAATGTTAGTTCAAAACCCAGTCAGGGATATATTTAGTAAATCACACATCCAGGATACGTAAAGTGGTTACTAATTTGTTGCATGTTATCAGTTGTCAATCTGTGGAGGGAATGGTCCTCACAAGTAATGCAACATTTCCAATGTTGGCTCAAGGCCACAAATTGAATTGCGTGCCAACCCTGAGCATGGGGGACACTTTGACTCATAACAAAGTAAAAACATATTACTGGCTCAATTTGCACTTTACAAAGTGGAGATTAAATCACGTTGAGCGATCAAAGAGATTGCACATGCGCCAGTGAGTACCTGCTCCTCTGCAACCAGCAGAGATTTCATGTTTTGGTCCATGACTCGCAGCTCTTCTTCCAGCTGCCGAACCCGGCTGTTAGTTGGCACACAAGCCGCCGATGCCAGCAGGGTTAGTGTACACACCCGCGGTCAAACCATGCACACAAGCGATTATACGCAGGCAGCAGTAATGCGTGACTGGCTGCACTGAATGACAAAATTTTCTCTCCACAGGGCAAGAGAAAGCCACTAAATGCAGGATATATCAAGTCTACCAAGGAAGCTAAGTTCCTTTTGGGAGTATATCGTATCACGGCTGAGTTTTATATGTGGATTTTTTTTATTTTGCTCAGTTGATGTTTTATTTATTAGTCTAAGTGTATATAGTTATTGAAATGGTACTGATAAAGACACAACATTCCAAACGAATCCATAATTTAGCCGACAGGCTTTCCTTAGATTGCATGCAGCCTTTGGAGTTGAAAACGGTCTACCAATCAAAGCAACAATTAATATCCGTATATTTATGTGTATACATTGATGATATTGCTCCCAATACGAACAAAATGTTAATTATTAATGGTTTCACACTGGGTTTAAGCGCAAGCATATACTTGTGCAGAAATATGCTTCATCCCTTGGTTTATAGTGCATGCAACGGTATGAAGAGTAAATTAAAGGGTTTTTGTTATTGGTTGACCACAACTGATGAGGGATTTTGGATAATGTGTGCTGCCCAACATTGGTGGTCATTGCTGAATGTAAAGAAAACCTCCAAAAAACACGTTGGGATTGTTTTAAGAATGAGCCAAAAATACTTCACCAATAAACTGTTCAATTTAAAATATGAAAATGAATGCTTTGAAATAGATGTTTTATAACGGGGCCATCTCAAGATAAAAAAAGGTGTCAGTTTTGTTGCCAGATAAAAGGGTAAAAAACTATTATCATGAAAGTTTGGTGTTAAGTGACTTTAACAATCAGTAAGTCAACACCACCTATTGAAATGGCATTCACATCAAAACAAATTTGCTTCATATTTAGCAAGGACTAGCAATCAAAGGGCAGCTAACATTATTAATAGTACAAATTGTATTTTTAAAATCTTAACCTAGACAATAGCAAGTAGTTAGCTAAACCTGTTCACCTTCCTAAAGCACTGCAAACGTACACGGATTTGATATAATGCAAAACCAAATTATGCTATTAACAACTGCATGCCAAACTATAAGGACACAGTGAACTTTAACAGCCAGCCTTCATGCAAGCGTTAGGCACATTTAAAAATGTCTTACAATAAGCAGCTCTATTAAAAGCACACAAGAGACAACACTAACATGACATTTCAAGGAAATGTGAACTGTTGCCAGCAGTTTTTAAACTTGGAAAAGTGATGATGGAAGATTTGATGCTATCAATATTTGGATGAGTTACTCTGTGACTGGTGTGTTACACTACAGTATTATTACAAGACTGCAACATAATTTGAACAGCTAGCTGCAAATGACATTGAGACCCAATAACAATTACTTCATAATAAATGCATCGGGTTTTTTTTTTATAAAATAGAAGCAGAACACAATTATCAAACAGCTATGATACAACACAAAATTTACTGCATAGGTGAACTGTATGTGCATATTAAAAAACAGCACATTAGATTATACACATTTACAAATATATCCATATATATATAAAATCAATGTGTCTCCCGGCTCAAACGAGCAATGGGGCAGCACTTATGACTGTTAAAGGTCCAAAGCCAGTAGTGGACGTTCTTCATGCCATGGCTTGAAGAAGTTGGTTACAAAAGATGATCATTGATGATTTACTTTACTGACCCCAACGGGTGAAAAGCAAAGTCAAACCACGATTGGGATTTGAATTTCCAACCTTCAGATTGTAAAGTGCCTTACCATCCATGGTTCCACCTCGCTTGACATATACACGTGTAATTGTGTATATACGCTGTGTATTGTCCATGGGTGTACATGTAGTTGGTAAAAAAATTATTTTTATTTTCTATGAAAAATGTGAAATTTAGATTGCGGGAGACTCACGTTTCTCCCACCTCCGCACGCTCTTCTGTCCTCTCCAGCTCCCCCTCGATGATGACCAACTTACGGGCCACCTGTGGCACGCGCGCGCACATACACACACGTATCTCGTCTAAGCCCTGTACTACATTGCCAATATCATCCTACACTGAAACGATAGGTAATCAATGGATGAGAGACAGATCTGCTTATTTATAATTGTAACTATAATGCACAAATAAAACTTTCAAGCTATATTGCACAAAGTTGTGTTGGCACAATTAGAATGTACGTAGCCAACCATGCTATTCGGAGGTGCGGGACTTAATGTTGTAGACACAATACGAATACTCAGAGAGTGCTATCATTTTGATTAACTATTATTGAAATCCCTTTGTTAATTCACTGCTGGCTTCCCTACCCCATGTCCCTTGTAGGAATGGTTTGACTAAACTTCACCTCGCTTGTCAGTGCGGGTTAAAGAGCGGGGGAGCAGCCTAGGTCCAAGGACCGGTTGACATATTACACCACTGATGTTGGTTCTGGCCAGGAATCACTCAGAGACTTACAGCACTCCCCCAATAAGTTTGAATTGCTTCTTGGAACTACGGCACGCTTGGCAAGCACTTTCCAAAACCAGGCATAACCCAGGGGACAGCGTTTGTAAAAAAGCAAATGATAGCTTGAGAAATGAATGGGACACTGAGTTCAAAACCACAAAGCTCACCTCTTCATACTTGCGATCGGCCTCTTCAGCGATGTGCTTGGCCTCTTTCAGCTGGATCTCCTGCAACTCCATCTTTTCTTCATCCTTGAGGGCCCGGTTCTCAATAACTTTCATGCCTCTGTGGATAAAGTATATTCAATTGTATCGTGTGAAGGACATCAAATTCAGCTCAGTGGGATACACGTGCGTAACCGCTGGTGTTTAGGTGCTATCATGTACCCGATATAAGAAAATATGTATCGGCAGAGAGAGGAGACTAAGCACGAGCAAGTGGCCTTCACTGTGGTCTGTAACCAAATTGAGATAATACACTTTATCCACTGATGTGCACAATGTTTCGAAACCAATTTAAGTTTCCGTTTTCTGTAAACCACACACGTAACTTTTCATCACAAAAGCACATCACATTTGAGCAAGATTCAATTATAATAATATGAAACAAAATTGCAGTCGCCAAACTTAATTAGATGGCATGCCAACTGAAATACTATTAATCAGAAAGAATGATTAAAGAAATAGTTTGCAGCAGCTCGTATTTGTACTACCAAAATATGTCTTCACAATATTTAGTTTGGCATGCCACTGTACATAAATAAAGTTACGGCTCATATTTTTATTCGAAATTCTACACTGTGAAATACAAATAGCTTGCCTTGTTTTTTCCAGACAGTTCACTATGAGTATATTGATTACCATTAGTAATTCATAGCATTCTGCACATCTCACAATGACGCCATAGGCCACTCCTATCCTAAACGTACGGAAGCACTGGCAGACAGGTGTACGTCCCCTATCATGGAGTTTCCACCACGCGCATTAACATTACCTCTCACTCTCATCCGCAGCCTTGGTGGCCTCCTCAAGCTTCTGCAGGGCTGTGGCCAAGCGCTCCTGAGCCCTGTCCAGCTCCTCCTCTACGAGTTGGATGCGTCTGTTGAGGGAGGCCACATCGGCTTCAGCCTGCATTTACAGAGGAGAAACCAGAGCAACATTGAGTCATAGAGCCACAAACACATTTACAGGATGTACTCTCAGCATTCATTCATAATAATAAGTAATACATCGGTTTACGTCGGGGATGCGTTCCTGAAAGGTGTGGTGAATATTGAAACAACGTAAATCAAAGCAATGTACAAGGTAGGTGGAGGTGAAGGCCGAGGCGATGGATACAAAAAAATTAACCCGTAAAAACAAAGTTTTTCACTATAAATCCTTTATATGCGTGGCGGCTAGAGTCCTCTCGTCCTCTGGCTTGAGATGGCTGCCACCTATGGGTCAGATGATTGCCTGCCACCATTAAGCAATTGGTAATTAAATATAATTTATTTTTTCCTAAAAGTGTAAAATTTTGGAAAAAAATTTTTCACAAAAATTAATTGTCACGCACAACGAGTCTGTGTGCAAAATGTCAGCTCGATTGAATCACGGGAAGTGGGTTAAAAAACGACCGAAAAATTTGCACGGTCGTAAGCGCGCAAGCAAGCAAGCAAGTGAACTTAATATAAAGGATTTAAAAAGGACGGATGCTGCCAGCGACATAAGTGTGGGATGAGGCGACACAAATCAGGTCGTGGTATTAATAAAGTTGAGGAGGTATTTACGAAACTTCGTAAAAAGGGGGGAGATGTAAATTGGGGTATCACTGTGTAATCAAATTACTCTGCCACTGTTTTTTTCCTCCGTAAGCATACCATAGTTCGCCTATACAAATTGTCAGCTATGAGGCCAGACTTTCAGCCAGCCGGCCTGACAATCAGGAATTCATTTTGTGAAACTAAACAATAATATAATAAAAGTATTCAGAACAAATGCTTGAAACTTTTACCATAATGATAGGTGACATTACTTTTCTTTTGTAAGTACATGTTTACATTGTTATCATGCCATTCCAGTACGATCAGAGGTTTTCAAAGTAAAATTTTCACGCAGACCTGAACTTGGCAAATAAAAAAAGATAAAATTACAAATTTTAAGTGACTGTTAAAATCAGCTCATGGGGTGCAAACACAGATCACTTTTCTACAGTGTGGCAGCACGGCATTACATCATGTTTGCTTCAATGCTTCGCAGCAGTGTCTAGCCAGACGAGAAGAGAGGAGGGCTCTTTCACTGTAACATTCCACGCATTCTTGCACACATTCAGCCTTGCAATTGATTCTAATCCACTTAAAGCCTCTTACATGACGTGAATGCATTCTATAATACATTTGGTATCAAGACTAGTCTTCTACCACTACTGACATTAACTAGTAGTGATTTGTAACATTACAAGTTCACGACTTTGGAATATGCTAACGATCCAATTATGTTGTTTATTAAAATAGTGTTTAAAGGACCAGCTCAGAAAGCGGATTAAATAGAATGTTATATGGTTAGACTGAAAATAGTGCAAATTAAATTATTAAACTAGGGCACATGAAAAATAAGCAAATAAGTAACTCACATATACATTAACATGGAGTACTACATCGCCATTGAGCTAAGTAAGATGCGGAAAGTTCCCAATTAACACGAGCAGAGTGGTATTAAAAGGTCAAGTATATATGTAAACTTTACTCATTATAAATTCAGGTTATACCATTAACTGCAGTAATGCTTGCAATTGTGACATCTTTTTCCCTAAAGAATACCAAGTCAATAAATTAAACCAAACTGCATTTCAATGGGGTCACCCTTACATATACAATGAATAATACATAAACTATAAATATACCTGATCTACGAAGAAGTAAAACCTACAGTATAAACCATACTTTGCCATATAAGGTAACGCCTGGATCTTTGCCTCCTGACAAAAAAAAAAGCCAGCTTCTGTCTTCATGCCCAGTTTACGGTCTGGCGATGAAGTAACTTGGAAAATAAATCCTCAAAAGCCCTTCAAAACAGGGCGGCTGCTGCTGCTGCTGGGTTTCCCTGTAAAGCAGAGCTCACGCTTTTAGGCAGAGCAGTCCACGCTCGCATGCGCTCATTGACAAATTTGCTGCGTTCTTTAAGCAGAAAAAGTTTTCGCCAAACGGCTGTCAAGGACGTTTTAAATCAGCCGCACCATTGCGAGAAACCAACCCGCGATAATAGATGTTTGCGAGTATTATGTTCCAACGGTAGCAACATCTATAAAAAGAAAAATTCAACACAGTCAATGGTGGGGTTTTTTTGTTATTCGTGTTTATGCACCACTGCCGAAACAACAACACCAAATCATTTCTATGAGCAAGAAAGAAGCTACATGGAATTACATGTGGTATTTTATGTTTTTTTTTCCTTCTCGAACAAATGCAATCTGCTTCCGGCTTTTTGGAGAATGTATTATTCGCAGTTTGGTTTTATTTTTTTAAAAAATGCACCGTAACATTCAGTAATGGCTACGGAGACAAATAATAATGCCTCGTCGCTTTTACTGAGCAGTAAATCCCGTGAAAGCAAATTTAATTCTGGCCAATGATTAGCTGCACATTCATTCAGCTAGTCAATTTTTTTTTCAAGAGACACAGATAACAGGTATCAAACTATATAAATTTCATATTCTTGGTTCTTTCTGTAAAGTCACGTAGAAGGGAAATAATAAAATAATATTAATATTAAACAATAAAAATTCCCACGACGTTTCGACTGCAACACAAGCAATCATCATCAGGTGTGAAAACCCACCACTTTGTTCAAATTTTCTTGCTGTGGATTTCACACCTGATGATGATTGCTTGTGTTGCAGTCGAAACGTGAGAATTTTTATTGTTTTATATTTATATTATTTGATTACTTCCCTTCTACGTGACTTTACCAAAAGAACCAGGAATATGAATCCCTGCAGTCACGAAAGCTTTAAATCAAAATTGTATAAATTTCAATTTATATTGTATTTTTGCTATACATTTTTTTGTGACAAATGATGAAAAAAATATATAACCAAATAAATGCAGGTCTTAAGTGTGCATCTACAAATTCCCACAACTTGTTACCTCCACTGAGCTGGTTAGCACGAGCTTAAAAAGTTTTGGCAAAATATCTCCCGCATATAAAATTACTGCAAAAATAAATCCCAAGAGCATTGGTTAAAATAAAGAAGCCGATATGAATGACAGCTTGCAACATGCATTCATGGGCCTACATCATAAGGGAATTTTGGTAAGCTATACACTACTGCATAACCCGAGTCAAAACCATTTTATACATGAAAATGTACAGAAACTTCTGAATGCACAGTACTCACAAACATATAAAACACATAGAATGTCTGCTCGAAAGATAACAATTGGTCGTGTTACAATTGTACAAATAGATATATTAATACATTTTAGAATTCAATACGTGTGCTGCGGTAAATTGCATTGCATATATTACTGGGCCAGTCTCTGACCGGGTAACAAGAGTGTGTATGTTCAACAGGACTAAACTGTGCTGATGTCCAACAGAGGTTTTCATGTATATTTAATACATGTTGAAATGTCAACTGCTCGTTGCTGAAATTAATTCCAAACTCCCATTTCTGTTGCAACTGTGGCCTAACATGACCATTAATTACATAGCATATATGCATGCAATGCAAAATAATGTGATGCTTAAAAAGACAACGATTGATTATGGGCTTGGGTATAAAGATTTCAACTGATTTATCTCTGGTCTGAGAAACTGTTTTCTATTTTTCCTGGAACTTTGCAAATTAATTTAAATGATGCTCTTAATTTCTCTGGAGGCTTATTCCACATTACAGAAAAAGTCTATTGCAAAAGCCATCAATTAAAGACAATTGCAAAAAAAAAATCTACCAAACTAGGCCATTTTTCAAAGACTTTATAATCACTGTTACCAACATCTAAAATGTATTGCATCAGGCCAATGAAGACTATAATCGTTTCCCATTTTGTCTTGTGAAAATTATGTATAAAGCAACAAAATTGCTTACATATGGTCAAATCGTATAGCTCTGAAAGGATATTAACCATTCCCTGAAGCAATTTTTTTTAAAAAATGTTTAACTATATGACCTTGTATTGTGGCTGCCTTTTAATGGGGAAACATGTAGACCAAGTTAGTTTAAACATTCTCTCCAGAACAGTGAATGAGGTAACAATTTAATTACATAAAAACTGGTATAGTCATTATTATTTTATCCTCATAAAATATGACAGTGTCCTATGCACATAAAGCACAATACGGAACAAAACCAAATCATTAAAAAGTGCATACAAAAACGTCCACTTATCCGTTGGGACATCTCTCATTATCATCTCCACATACTGCTAATATTTCATGAAGATGTGGCAGGTTAACCTGCAGTATTATGTTCTAAACTTGTCAGCATGCTTTGCAAGCATGGTGTTCGAGTTAACCGAGTTACATAGGTAAAAATAAATAAATAAATTAACTCCTGACGTTTCGGAAGCAACACAAGCCTCCGTCATCAGGTGTAACTGCTCAAGTAAAATTGCTGTAGCGTGTGAAGGAGCAGTTACACCTGATGACGGAGGCTTGTGTTGCTTCCGAAACGTCGTGAGTTAATTTATTTTTACATTTTCTACCTACGTGACTCTACCGAAAAAACCAAAGAGTATGAATCCTTGCAGTCACGAAAACTTGGAATCTAGAACATTAATACCAACATTTGTGTGTAACCAAAGTAAGCAGATACAAGTTAGAATCATGATGGCCCAACAATGCCAAAGAAAAGTCTGTCTGGAGTTTTCTACTGTAATATCTTACTTCAAGAATACTGTCTATCACACAGGAATTAACTTAGTTACAGTGTTGCATAGATCCATTTCTGGCAATAAGGCCATGACTGAACGATTCCTGGCAACACGTTTGTCTAAGAGCCACAATAATACCGTTAATTGATCGATTATTCCACCAACACCAGAGGCAACAAAAATGTTTCCCGTATAGCATAAACCACGGCATGCTCAGCAAACATGCGGTATGAGATCCTTATGGTGGAGGTTTAATTTAGCGGCCTTCTACCCAAC